GCAGAGCAGAGCAGAGCAGAGCAGAGCAGAGCAGAGCAGAGCAGAGCAGAGCAGAGCAGAGCAGAGCAGAGCAGAGCAGAGCAGAGCAGAGCAGAGCAGAGCAGAGCAGAGCAGAGCAGAGGAGAAGAGAGGAGAGCAGAGGAGAGCAGAGGAGAGGAGAGGAGAGCAGCCTGTTCCGATAGCAGTGTTACCGGTGTGGCGCCTCTCGATCGGCTCTTACTTTATCGATTCGGAGTATTTTCGCATCAGTGTTGTGTTAACACAGGCTGACTATTCATCACAGCTGGCGTGGAACGGCTCAAGCCACCAACCCGCCGCTGCGCTATTTTTTACGGCAGAGTCACAGTCGGTACTCGTCCTTTATGAATATGTGCCGTAAATGGTGTAACAGCCCATGAACCAATTGCTAATCCTTTACGTTATACTCATCACAACAACGTGTCGAATACAACTGCATGTTGCCCAGCCTGGCAGAAGTGTGTAGGTTTCTGACTCAGAAAACGCAGCACGTCTAGCGTGTCCGCTAGGGGAACCAGCAGCCGACGATTTGGAATAACAAGCATTTCTTGTTAAATTGTCGTGCCCTTGTTTCAGCGCGACACACCAATTACATCCTTGATGTGCCCGTCATTTCATGCATTTCTCTTGACATGCAAGTGAGCAATCATCTCGGCCGTAACCTCGGCTGTAACAACCACACACACCTCGGCCGCGGAAAATTATTAACACCAGTATTGTCCACGACTTCTGATCAAGCACCCTATATTCCTCTCAGCCATTCCTTTTTGCATAAGTACGTCCAACCCTTCAAGTCGCATTATAAACATGTACGGCATTGAAATGCCATCTAACTACCTTATTTCCATCAATGCACCACACTAATTACACCACACCCATTACAGACTTTGGTAATTTCTGGGCAAGCCCTACCTTACGCGTAGCGTGTGTCGTTTCCAAGCCGCACTTCTGTCAAAGTCTCGCCGAGCTGTTATTCCGGATGCTTGCATAATAGTAACATCCGTCGTTCTAACACCTGGCCTACCTTTGCGAGCCACCAAATCAGTTATTCTATATGTTCGCCAATGCTACCACAGCCACCCACGTCGCGGTACGTTTAATGCGACTCGTATTAGAGCCCACCTAGGCTTATGTCCAGGAAACAGCCTACTGGCATATATATTGATAACTATATAAGGAATTGCAAATTCACAGGTCTCCATGCAGTGATGCAGTTTAGCTTTGTGGCCATTAATGTCGTTGTATGACTCTCTATGACTTTTACTCATCATCCTGGGAATTTTTCTTTACAGATTGATCTTCGCTGCATTCATAAATTTTATCAATAAAACCTTCTCATATGGCATATCGCAAAGGTTACGCAATATCCTCGTTTGACAGTCGAGCTAAACGTACGCTCTTCCGACGGAATCTATAAATTTCGGGACCACGCATGAGCGCATGCCACAGCTGGGCTAGAATTAAATATACGTAAACACCTGCTATAATGCGATAATTGCTGATCATCTTACGTCTTGCGGCACGGGGCATAGAACCGCCGCCATGTGTGTGTGTGTGGTTGTTACGGTGGGCTCCAGACTCCGGAAGAGTAGAGCCATCGGGCCAGCTGGCCGTGCACTGCAGTAGAGACTAATATACAAATTAGACCATCACCTCAGATAATTAACCGTTCATCGGTGACCGCTCCCGTGATATAGCAATTTGCCTGATATAATTCTCAAGAAGGGGTGATGTGCGCCAACAGAATCCCAACCTTTCCGTGGAATTCCCAGAGCTGCGAAACCCTGAAGGCGGCCCCAAAAGTCAACAATAACTCGACAAATGGCTTCTTCCGTAAGGGAAGGGCCAGGTAACAGTGCCGGGTTGGTTTTCATGTTTGCAGCCATATATCGTCTCCCATGCTCCATGGCTGACACCGCAGCAAGAGCCACAACATCCCAAACACATTGTTGCACTGTTTGTGGGGCTTGGACAAGCCAAAGTTGCTCCCTTGAGATTGGCAATCCTATTGAAAGAGTAAGTTGATCTGCTACTGCCTGTGCCACCGGACAGGCCCAGAAGTGATGACAGCGAGGGGATACACCTCCCACTGAACCTACTGGATAACCTCCACAACCACATAGTTTACAATAGTTTACAATAGTTTACAATAGTTCACGCCTACCACACCACCCTGGCAACATCACAGCTAAGCCCCTCGCATTGGCTTTGCCAGCGATCCAGAATCTGTAGAACAGCTGGCATTAGCCCACAAAGCCCGTCTAAGCGGGTTCTGAGGTCCGGCAAGGAGTACCCTACGCCTTCGGCCGCTGCCCTTGAGGAGGCGGCAGCAGGCGACTCCATGACGCGATCCACTCAGAAAGAACCATCTTTAGATGAGATTTACAAGCTGCTTCAGACCCATGCTACACAGACCAAGGCGTCCTTCGACTCCTTGCATAGCAAGACAGATGCGCTGGCTGCTCGTGTTGACTCGCTGGAAAAGAATATTCCGGAAATAATTACCAAAAAGGTGGAGACCGAAATGAAGCAGTTCGAAGTTCGGGCCGCGCAGTTCATCATCGAAACTGTGCAGTCTCAGCTCGCGGGGGCCCCTACGTTTGCGACCGACCGCACCGGGTCTAAACAGCGTAGGAACTTGACCGGCAAATCTGCCTACTACGATTCCGGCTCCCTGATCGCGTTTGGCGTCCCGGCTCTCGCGACCGCTAAGCAAGCAGCGGAAGCCATCACCCAAGTCGTCTCCGATGCCAGTGGAGGAAGCCTCCAGGCCTCCTTCCTCAGCGTCGAAGTACGCACTGAGAAGCCACGACCCAACCAGGCGGCCCCAACATACAACATCACCATCGGCGTCACCCCCCGTGTCCGTGGTATGCTTTTCCGACACAGCCAGGCCCTTAAGGCCATCGGCATCACCTTCCGGGATGACCTCACCCCGGCAGGTCGTCAGCTCAAGCAGGCTCGGAACGCGCAGTTCCTGCGGCTGCGTGACGAGGGCCGCAAACCCAAGTGGCTGGGCCCGTACATCGAGTACCAGCGCACCGACGGCATGTACTACATGGTCTCCAAGTACGACGTGTCCGACGTTCCGCCCCCCCCCGCCCCAGCCCCCGGCCAGGAACGGGGCTGCGGCGGGCACAAGCGATGGACGCGTGACCACAGAGGGTGCTGGCGAGGGGAGCGCCACCTAGAGTGCTATGAGTCGTGAGGCTAAAGACATCAGGGTCTTGCTTTGGAACGTGTGGGGTTTGTCGGTAGCTAAGCTCACCGACCCATCTTTCCTCCGCATTGCCCAGGACCACGATGTGCTAGATCAGGAGCATAATGCGTTTGGACGTAAACTGCTCGAGTTGTGCCGGGTTTCAGAGGTTGTCATTCTCAATGGGCGGGCACCGGGTGACACTGAGGGCAGGCTCACATACGAGTCCAGCCGGGGGGGAGGCAGCATGATTGACCTTGTGCTTGCGTCCCCTTCTTTGTACCCGTGCGTGCGTTCCTTCCGTGTCCTGCCACAGCAATCTTTTACC